TCCAATATCGTTCTCTTTTTCATTCCTTTATATCTTTTCAAAATTTTCCTACAAGAAGAACATTCATCTGCAAATGAGTATAAGGATTGGTAATGGAACTGTTGTAAACGATTATCCTATTGATTTTATCCATATTACGTTTATCTATTGAACATAGTGATTGTTTTTACAAAGTGTACTAGTATCCGGATGTGGAAAGCTATCCGATTTTCTGCAATTACTGCTGTCACATGGCCATCTTTTTATGAATACTTTACCATTACTTTGCATGGCTTAATAAAACTGAGCAAGCAATATTTCATACTTTTTCTGTTTATGGTGTTCTTTTGGGTGTCGGGTCATCTCTATTTTAAGGGGAAGTAACTCATGTTTACTAAATTGTTTGTTCTTTTCTGTCTATTTTAGGTATTACTTACTATTTTTTGTTGTATAAAATTTACCAGTTGTAAGGTCATCAAAAGCATTGAGGCCTTGAGGAGTAAATATTGATAGTTTTTAATGCCTTTATATACCTTAGACTGGATTGTTCTAGTTTGTTCAGTTAGAACATACCTACAGGTATTCTGCTACAGGAATTTTCTAATCACTATGTGACACTAATTATTATTTTCTATGTGTTTGTATATAAATTGTTAATAAAATAACCTTTGGTAAAAATGAAAGGTAGAAAATCAAAGCCGATATGTTTATAGGATGTACGTTATATTTATTTTTAATGGAAACTGGGAATTATTAATGTTATGTGCATACATGTATGTCTTAGTATATGGATATGTTGAGACTTATAACATTTCTGTTTTTAAAGAGATGCAGTTATGACATTATTATTAAAGGGATGAGACTTTCATTTAAAGTTATAAATGATAGTACATGTATTGATTAGTATACAGGTTAAAGGTCTATACCCTGTGTTAGCTGGCTAACAATAGTATCTTTAATTATATAGAGTTAAAGGAATATTGTAAAGGGTGAATTAGCCTGGATGTTGTGGTTTATCTTCTGAACTTGTGAGAATTGGCAGGTAACATAATGACCTATCCAAAATTGAGATTAAATTAGTGTCCATTACTAGTGATGCCAGGGTCCATGGTGCAATTCTGTGGAGGTTATTCGTTGCCAAAAATCATGCCTTTGACACTTGACAATGCATACTTCGGTTCTACTGAACAGATTAGTAAAAATCTAATAGTCGATCCGAGAGTTACATAATGCACTGGTATTAAGCATTATGATTATCTCGATTTGATAAAATGGAAACTGTAAACATGCAACTTAGATAAATTGCAAACTGTAATTATAAATGTATAACTTCAAATATGCGACATGTAGAAATGTAAACGATAGAACGTACACAATACGTTTAATGATGCGCATCATGACGTTGAGAATGTAACTGAATCAACGTGACACACTCAGGTTTACAACACCACATTTTCCTTTTACATTCTAACGCGATAAACATTTGTAAACGATTTTGCAACTTCCATATATGGAATTATTACGGAAATAGACGAAAATTAATAGGCGGAGCCAATTTTTTACGAAAGCAGAATATAAAGAGAGGTAACTCTTGCTGGTACAAAAATCTTTCAAATTATTTAGAAACTGTTATAAATTCCACATACATAAACTGCATTACAGTTGACTTTGAACATCCACTGACATTGTTAAAACGTATTCTAGTACAGGATATTCAAGTAGTGCCAAATTGGTTAAGATATAATGTAACAATGTAACAACGTTTAATATACTGATCATGAGCATAATAATATGCAAAAACTAAAGTTGGTGAATTAACATAAGGGACTGTTTCCCATATATAATGACACACACCACGGTTTGTAGATATGAACGATAGGGTTTGTGTGCCTGGTAATATTCGCACGCAGATATTTTACATTTAGCAAATAGTACTAGGATGCCATACATGGAAGTCACTTTTGGAAACACGAATAAAGAGAACTGAACAGTAAGCCTGTGCCTTATTTCTTTAAAGGACTATGTTGGGTTGTAGAAAACCCCATACTTTTGACCAAGTGTATAACCACGAAACAATTCAAAGTTTACTATCGATAATTCCGTTGTATAACCAAAAACTAGTGAATGTGTCCAAATAAATATTCAGTGTACTTGCCCCTCACCGCTGTTGGTTCAAATCCCGACAGGGATGTGAGGAAGCTATCCAGCTAGCTTACGGAACGTCGGTGGTTCTACTTATGTGCCCGTTCGTGCCTAAAATAATGCACGGAAGCGTACCTGAGGTCTTCTTCCACCAGTAAAGCTGGAACGTCGCGATATGACCTATACTGTGTCGATGTGACGTAAGCCCCCCCCCCCCGTCTCAAAAATGGAAAGAAAAAGAAATATTCAGTGTATCCTAGCATATTTGGAGGTATTTTGAGTCATAGGATGAGATTTAGCCTTTTATTATTAAATATATGTAAGCTGACGTAGGTCAATGTCTTTTTATGCATTGTACTGAATCAATAGCAACTCTTAGATCTGTCTAGCTGTTACCTAGGCTTGCTGTCTATCTGATAAAAAGCAGACTATTTTTATACTCAGAATATTTATTAAATTTTTTCTAAGAGATAAATAAACAAGGTATACATAAATTTATAATCAACATACATACCTTTGGACTCATTTAAATATTGTTTTTGAAAAACAAAATGGTAAAAATGGGAAAAATATCTATACAGTATGGTACAAATAAAGTTATGTACAAAAGGGTACAGTACATACAACTTTGGTTATAATTTTACTATTGTTATTTTTTTTCTTGTCAAGTCATATGCTAGAATTTAGGTTACTTATGTAATAGTAAATGCTACTACTAGGAAAGATAACAGTCATGATTTGGTCTGTATTAGTAATATAAGTCGTATCAAAATCTCTATCAGATGTTGACTTGAAAATTTGAAAGTGGTACATGTGGTAAGGTAGCAGCTTAACTGTAAATGTTACTCATTCCTATGCAAATTGGAATACCCTCAGTAAAATTTATTTCTCGTTGAATATAGTCTTATCAATAGTTTTTACTTCCTTTAAAAATATTTAACCTCAGGCAGTAAGTAGCCTGGTGAGTTTTTTTTAGTTTCTTTTTCTAGGAAATGTGGTATCTACAACGTTTTAAAACTTATATGCCTATAACCCTTTAAAGTCTGCTGATGTTGATATAATAAAGGCATAGAATGGCAATCATACGTTCAAGTGAATTATGTTTGGTGAATAACTTAATACCTACGGAAACTACGCCGCTTCTTGTCGCCGACGGTAAATACCGAAAATGAGCGGATAAATACGTTTATTTACGATGATGTAGTGGGCGGGAAAAATGGGCGGAGCTTATTTTATCTCCTATTGAAAAACGTGTAAAGCTGGATTATGCTGATCCGAATCATGATGGTTCGACAATGTGAAGCTAAGAATTTCTGTTTTGTCGGCGTATACACGAACAATGAGTATTCGAACACTTGGTATTGCTACTATCAGAAAAACAGTTAATGTTTTGTCGTTTAACAAAATGTATTTTGTTGAAATGCATGTTTACAATGATAAATCGGCAAACTCAATCCAAGATTGCAACATTGGAGTTTACATACACATAAATACAATCGCATTTTGACCGTTAACAAACTGTTCAACTCAGATCAACAAGGCTGGATTTTTGGCAACGAATAGCCTCCATAAATATATGGGTCGACATTCAAATACCTGTATCTCCCTCGTCGAGTATGGTAGTGTAAGGATACTTGATGATTCAATTTAAATGTTAATGCCTAGATGTGATCATATGTAAAACGCCTCTCTTAATTTATACATAAACGGCATACTTAAAAATTAGGTTCGCAGTAAATAAAATATTTAGAATAAATGTTGTGTTTTTTGTTATAGACATAAACATAAAATACTTAACGTTTGAAACTAATAATAATATTAATAATAATAATGATCATGATAATGATGCAGATGATGATGATGATGATGATATATACAATAACACAAAGGGAAGATCGAAGAGAGACAAATCAATATCTGTGATTTTTCAAAATATATTTTGGACGGTGCAAAACTACTTTAAAGTAAATAAATCTGATACATGTAACCTTTAATATTATCTTACACTAGAAAACCCAGCAGTAATGTGATATTGCATGGTAACATGAACCCATCTAGGTTTTGGTAAGATTTGCTGTCTTATTTTATTCATAAAACGCCAGTATATTTAGTGATATGTTTGCATCAATATTTATCTATAGATAACATTCTCCTCATAAATTAAAGGGACTCCACTGAGGTGTTTTGACTTGAAGATTTTTGTATATCAAGCTGTATGTCTCGACCAATAATTCATTGTACAAAATTTCAGATAATTTACTCACTCCGTTTCGTAGAAATAATCATTTTTATCATGTTTATTGCACATTGCCACAAAAAATAAAATCCGTTGCAAAGCTTTTCACTCAAATTTAAGACAGATTTTCAAATTTTATTATATTGGCTATTGGATCTCAGTAAATTTCCTTTGATAATTTATATTAAGATTAAATTCCGATGTTTGATAGTACTTTTTAACACTTTCTTTTGAACTTTTATTTGATATATTTTGAACATTTCATTCGACATCATAAATGTATTGTTCTCCTAATCTAAGAATTTTTTTTTTCTATATTTTTTTTCGCTTTGTTAACATTGCAAACCTTTCTCATACTGTGATTCTTTCGAATTGTATTAAGCAAAATCTAAGAAATCTTAATATAATGAGTAATATTTGGTCTTACCCTGTCAGCACAGTTTTTCTCAAACAAAAACATTTTCATCTTATTTCATCATTAGATTGCCAATATTACAGTTTACAAATTGACAAATTAATGATAACAGAAATAAACAATATATACGAGTATAAATATAATAAAACACAGAGAAATAACTTTTATATTGTTTGACTTTTATTTTTTTTTTTTTTTTTACTTTTTTGCGAAAATAAGAAATGCACTGTAAAAAAATGTAACGTGTTTCAAAATCATACCAAATGTTAAATATAAATGTTATATATAAATATGTCATGCTGGTTGAATAGAAAAATTCATTAATATTATAATAATATAACTACATATCAATAATTAACTGTATAAAATTCAAAAATGTGCAATCCCTCGGAAGCATTAATCACAACAAAATTACATGAAAATTGATTGAGCCTGTAAACACCGTGCATAGCCAGTAACGCAGGAATGTGCAAATAACGCAGGCATTGTGATAAAGTAACGCAGAATGGTGCAATTTAGTGGTGGCTAAAGCGATAAGTAAATGAACCAAAATTTTTATTTTTTACTAAATTGGAAGAAATGAGTTAGCATATACGATTGCTGAGACATTAAACTTTAAACCTCATCCAACATATTCTATGAAAAGTTTATTTTTCAAGATCATTCATGAAAATGACGACAGCGTATTGAACAGCGTATTGATGGCGATTTTTAGTTTCGTTGATATCTTTAGATACAATAACGTACATATTACTTGAGACATTTTTCAATCTACTCGTGTCATATTACACTGAAATTAGCAGATAAAACGTAAGTGAGACCATTTTTACGAGGTAACGCCGAAATCGTGAATGAAACACTAAAACAAGGGCGGTTATCTCATTAAAAGTAGCCAAATCTTATTTTACCAGCTTTCTTATATTGTTTTACGACACTTGTAGTTTGACAAAATTAATGTCTTAGGTGTACAGAATATGAAAAAATAAAGTTTTAAATGTGTTAAATGTACATACATTTGTATTTCTTTGACGAACACAAAAGTTTAAAGTATAATGTCGTTAAAGTATAATGTCGTATGCATTAATTCATCTATTAAAATTTCATTTAGAATAAAACATTTCGGTTCGTTTTCTTACTGTGTTATTCGTTTTGACAAGAGCGCAGTCGAATGGAATATTTTATTTTAATAATATGAAACATCAAATTAGCATACAAATATTTTTTTTTAAATAAGCACTCATATATAATCTATAAATAGCTTTAAAATGCCTTTCCCTGATTGGCTTACAAACATCTTTTTGTAAAAAAACAGGTCAATATCGATTTTTTTCTAAAAATAGATTTTCGGTTTTTCTTCTCAAAATAGATTTTTTGGAAATCCTCTGAGAGACGCGAGACTATGGCGTGACGTCGCGCCAAGAATGTTGTTATTATTCTGGGGAAAAAAACCACAACAACACTTTTAAGTTAAATGACTCTTAAATAATCTTTGAGTCAAATTAGTCTATTCTAGTTACCGTCTTTACATTTTTAAGAACTATACGAATACGCGTGCTAATGCGCTCATTTAAAAGAGAAATTTATAGAAAAAGTAAACAAGCTATCGCCTACTAGGTAAATATTTTTTTCAGTACATATCACGTCATATTCACCAGCTACCCAATCCAAATTGGTATAATATACAGTTGTTTATAGTATATGAAGAAAAGCTGAGAATTTTTTCTTGCGCTAAGAACAAATAGTGTTATGATCATGGTTTAAGACTTTCATATGTTGTTTTGTCTTCTCTTGCATTGTCATCGAGTCTGGAATATACGTTCTCAACTCCTGAATCAACGTTAAAGTTTCCCGATGTATTTGATGCTGAACCGGTCATAAATGTTTCATTTACATATGTTTGACTCTTACGATCTCTTCTGAAATCAGAACGAGTGTTTTGCATAAGCCATAATTTGTAAGGTAGGTCGGTTTAGCTAATTTTGTAAACCATTTAGCATAATTTTATTTCATGTGTTGAAAATGTAATTGATAAACAATTAAGACTGTCATATTAATACTCGTATATGCATAGACACGTCTGTCTGCATTCGTAAGTATAATGATACTAAATTATGCACTAGTAACTCATCATTAAAAGTATAATTTACACTTAACTTACCCATTGTCAAGTTTTATTTCTTGTTCATCTGGAAAGAATTACGTATACACATTTAACAAAGAATTAAACACAGCTTTCAATATGTCATGTGATTAATACGACAAGTTTCATTTTCTTAATATGACCTTTCGATTCGTATAGTGTTTGTTTTGCTTGCTGGCTGGCTTTGTTGGACTTAATTGCTAAACGGTGACTTTCTAGCTTATTTCAGGCATTAACAAGCACCCAATCGCGAGTAGAACCGTTATGTTATGAGATGAAAAACTAACCTTAATTTGAATTCCGTTTTTTTATTTGGCGAAACAGGTATCTTAATGCATCGAGTGAACTAACAGTGTTACTTTTTATAATTTTTTCAGGTTAACGTTCACACAATTTTAGTGTTTTATCATAAATATTATATCCTGATAACGAGGCAGTATGACGAAGTATTTTTTTTTTTACACTTAGTCTTGTATTATGTGTTATTTTCTGATACAGACATACCTTTCATTGATCATTAATTATAATTATACATGTATATTTTTTTGGGGTATGTTTTGGGTTTTACGTCACATCGACACAGTATAGTCATATCGCGACGTTCCAGCTTTACTGGTGGAGGAAGACCTCAGGTGCCCTTCCGTGCATTATTTCAGGCACGAACGAGTACCTGAGTAGAACCACCGACGTTCCGTAAGCTAGCTGGATAGCTTCCTCACATGAAAGAATCCAAAGTCCCTGTCGGGATTCGAACCAACAGCGGTGAGGGGCAAGTGATTTGAAGTCAACGACCTTAACCACTCGGCCACGGACGCCCCACATGTATATTTAAAAATGGTCTTAAATACTCATATGCTCTATCTATCCATTTTTTTGAAGCTATTCTGTAAGATATAATGAAAATGTGTATATCCTACCTTTAGTCCTGTACCTTCTGACTAGATAAGTCATATAACCAGCATATACTAGAAGAACGACAATAACCAGACCGAGTACAACTCCAACGATGACAGCTTGTGTGCTGTCAGTACAGGAATCAGAGGAAAGCGTTTCTAAATCCAAACAGCAAACATGTAATATGTTGAAGTTTGATGTTTCAAAAAAGAAAATGCGACTTATTTTTCTAGTAAGGAAATCAATTTAATATACATAATTATAAGAGCATATCATATGTTTTCCCATAGTATTAAGTGGACAAGCATAAACACTTCTTAACTGACATAAGAAAATTCTTATAAAACTTCTTATGAAAAACCTTGTTGATACGCAGAAATATGAAAAATGACAGTGCAACCGATGGCGAGTATTTAGAAACACACATATTCTCTCAGTTTTCACACATGTCCATTGAGGTTTCTTAAAGTTTTCAAGTTTCATTTACAATCTTTTATGGAAAACTTTGATTTCAGAGTGTAATATACCTTCCAAAACAGAACGCAAAGAAGGGGTGGGGGAAAAATCAGAGGAGAAGAAGGCAAGGAAAAATGCCAACAATAGAGGAGGTGTGAATAACGGCCGGAAAATGGAATAGCATGTCATACGAATACCGTTCGACAGCCGACCAGATATCGCACTTTACCGTCACCGTACAATTGTTGCAAACAGGCCAGATAACGGAAGGCAACTGGACATTTATCGGACGGTAGTCTGCCGGTTACCTTTAGAATATCGACCGGTGTCCAGAAAGAAGACGTCAAGGGTTTTCACCGGGTGACAGGGCCAGTACCCTTCGGAAACCGTCCGGATACCTAACTGACCACAAAGGGAGAATGACCGCCCACTTCTCCCGGACATGATTGAAATGTTTCTCTCCGATCACAAATTATCAACGGTGTCCCATCGATCTCTCTATATCGGCCGGTCTCCGCTTGTAATGTGACGTAGGCATTATAAGCTAGTTGGACTTCTTCACATGAAGGGCACCGACGTCTATACTTGATCCAAAACCAAAATAAGAACAGGAAAATAATTGGTGTCAGCTACCGGACTTTGATAACAGGGGGGGGGGGGGCTTTTTGATTTGATGGAAAAATAAATAAATGCGAACGAGATCCAAACATTTCAATGTCAAGTAAAAATCATTATACCTTGTTATATACCTTGTTAATTTGCTTTTACCTGTATAAACACGTTTGTTGAGAAAGTCAAGTAAGTGAATACTCTTCAAATCGTTCAGCACAATAAGGGACCTCATTTTTTTCGCATTATCTTATTTCATTTTACTAATAGTTGAATTAAATGACAAGTTTCGGCAAATTTGGAGTCTTATCGTGTTTCAGTTTTATTATAGCAAAAGCTAATTATTATTTTAAAAGGAATTGTCATGATTATTTGCCTTGTATGTGTTATATTTGATTTTTGAAATATTTTGTTGCATTCATTATTGACTTATTGAAATAGTAGCAAACGTCTTGTACTCTCATTTTCAGTTATATTCTTTCTGTAACATATTAAAATGCTTATTTGTATGTTTGTATGTGTGTCTATATCGAACATAATTATATATCTGACATAACTTACGATTTCAATGAACATGCACTGGAATTTCATACATATTTGTTCGAGTTATGATTCCCCCCCCCCTCACTCTTCTGTGATATAAAGTTTTCTAAATTATTGTCATAGACCTGTATATACAGGCGCCTACTTAGCTGTATAAATCTGAAAACATTGTTTTAATAAAAACTTGTTTGCATGCTTTAAATTAAAAATTTGAGAGCCAACGTTATTGTAAAGACATACCATACTAATTATAAAAAGAGATATGTTATAAAAAATATAACTTATTTTATTAATTAAAATATTAATATATAAAGATAAACAGAGATAATCATGTAATTTAACAGTGGCTGTTATAAGCTTGAAATCTTCATTTTACATAAGATATGTCCTAAAAATATAATAAAGAGCTCACAAGAAGAAACCATTTTACATATTACTTTCATACTCGATGGAAGTCATATAAGCATGTATATAGACAACAATATAATATAATATAATAATAATATAAATATTGAAACATACTTGATGTACAAGATCCACCAGATACTGCACCATTTGTATCATAATATCCATTTTTACACTGACAGATTCTAGTACCACCACTACTACATTCTGCGTTGCTAGTTGAACACTGACTGGAATCTGTACACACATCTCCTAATGATTGTCCTAGTTTTTAAATAATAAATTAACAATATCATTCCATTAAATTAATAAATATACATGTACATAATTTACAGCATATATATGTACTTGTAACGATGCATTTTAAAGTATGTTTTAAAAGAATATCTAAATTAGGTAGATTCCGTATCAAAAATCATCTACCGCAACAGGTCATGGTATCTAACAATTATCCATGTTTCAAAGTGTGTGCATTGTACTGAAAAACTGTCTTTGATTCATTTTAGGATTAGTGAATCAAATTCGGATAAATATACTCTTAACATATAGTGTTTTCGATGAATTATATGGAAAATGATACAAATCACTGTATTCTCCCTTAAAAATAATAACAATTTATAAGTTTGAGGAAAGTATAGTATACAAAATCATGATATCATACAATTACATACGTGTACAAGTACCGGTTGATCCAGTCCCTGTCTGATAGTAACCATTCTTACATGAGCATTTGTTATTACTGCAATCACTATTAGATTCTTTACATTGAGAATTATCATTACAACTTTGATCTAAATGTCTTTCTGGAAACAAACCAATACAATTGTAATAATATCTCGTATATCAATTATCAGTTGTCATTGTATGATACATGTATATGAATTTGTATTTGAATCATCTTGAAACAGATTTCAACGAACATAATTAAAGAATGTCTTAAGCAAATATATTTAATCATGGCAAATGTAACAAAAAAAAACCCAACAAATTCATAGCATAAATGATGTAACGGGTGCTTAAATTGCGTATAAATAACATATTGTAAACCCAATGTACAGTTCCGATAAGATACATTTAACATACCGGAACAAGTACCTGATGACCCGATCCCTGTCTGATAGTATCCACTCTTACATAAACATCTATAGTTCATACATTCAATGTTACCTTCTGTACATTGAGAATCAGCAGTGCAACTCTCGTCTAAATGTCTCTCTGAAAATAAGCAAATAAATATGACTGTTAAAACTGACTGAAAAACTATATGAAGTGGTTTAAATATGCTAGTTATAAAAATTCGTATGTCAATAAATAAGGGGTAAACAGTAGACAGTACAACTTAATATCCTTTTTAACATTAGTAATGAAACTCAAGATCTTCAACTTCCACCATGTTTACCATAGTATATAATGCAAAATCAACATTTCATCTATATACCATTTTCACACTCATTTTTTAAAATAAATTAATCACAAATCATTTAACTTACTTTCACATCTGCCTGTTTGACCATCAGCTGTTTTGTAGTAACCAGACTGACATGAACAGACACCACTGCTACATTGGCTATTAGCTACTACTGAGCAGTGAGTGGATAAACTACAACTTTCACCGAGGTATCTTTCTAATTAATGAAATATAAAACATAATGATTATGTTCTAGTTTTGAATCAAACAATCAAAATATTAGAATTGATATTTCCTACCAAATGATATAAATCACTTAATTGTAGCTTTGAATTATAATGTACCCCAAAGCATTATTGTGATAAAACCCAAAATGTCAAACAAAAGGACATCATTCGTAGTCATTTATACTGCTCATTTCATGCAAAAATATGTAAACTGTAGATAATGTGAAATTCGAAATTCGTGAAGGATGAAGTACAACAATTGAGTTTAATTTAATGGGAAATATTTGTTTTTTTATTAGAAATGATGGACAAAGTAAGTTGACATAATATCGATGCGTTAATTTGAAATTGTTTAAATTGGAAAGTTACCAATAAAGTAAGTTGACATATTATTTATTAAATAATTTGAAATTGATACATTGTGAAGATTAACATACTTGTACATGAGCCTGATTGACCGTAACCATCCTGGTAGTAACTAAATTGACATGAACAGACATTACTGCTACATTGTCCATTGGTTACTAGTGAACAGTGAGAATCTGCACTACAAGTATAACCAAGATATCTTTCTGAAAATATAACAATATAAATAATATTTTTATAACTTTGTGCTTTACTTTTCTGTATACAGCCTTCTAACTTCCGTCTTTATTTTAAAAACTAATTTAGTCCTGTAAAGTTGGTCTTAATTTAAAAACTCATAAGTAGGTAAACTTAAGAGTACAGGTTTAGCAAAATGTATGTTATGATACATTTATACATGAATTTATATACAATGTCTATGCTACAAAATACAAGACATAAAATACATATATTTGAATAATATAAAGCATTTTTAATCAATTGAGCTAACAAGCTTTTGGAATTTAATGCCCCTCTGACCTTGACCTTAGTTCCAGTGACTTCAATAGAGGTCTCTTTATGGTCATGATATCACCTCCATGCCAAATATGAAGACTGTGGGTCAAAGGATTTTTAAGTTATTGGGCGGACAAGCTTTTTATCAAGGCCTTTTTTACCTTGATCTTTGACCTTGTGACCTAAAAATTAACAGGGGTCATCTACTAGTCATAAACAATTCAATACCAAACACAAAGACTGTTGAAGAAAGCATTCTTAAGCAATTGAGCGAACAAGCTTTTTGAACTAAAGGCCACTGTGACATTGACTCTTGACCTAGCGACCTGAAAAGCAATAGGTGTCACTAAATGATCATGGTCAACCTCCATACCAAATATTGAGGACTGTGGGTCAGAGTATTATTGAGTATTATTGAGCGGACAAGCTTTTAGAAGTCAAGGCCCCTGACCTTTGACCCGGTGATCTCAAAAGATATAGGAGTCATTTACAAATCATGACCAATTTCAATACCGAATATGAAATATGTGTGTCAAAGGATTATAAAGTTATTGGGCAGACAAACAAAGTCCGACGGCCGGCCGGACGGCATGACGGACAAGTTGATTCCAGCTGATACTCCCTTACAACTTTGTTGTGCGGAGGTATAATAAAACACAAGCTCTGTGAATTTATATAACTAAGGAAATTTATTCATTATGTTCAGGTTTATTGCGAGAAAATAATATTCTGAAATTCAGTCAGGACACATGCTGAACTTAATTTCCATTGGAATAATTTCTCAAATATGTTTTACTTTAACCCATTTAAATTTATCAGAACAACATAATTATACAGTCAAACATAAGCTAAAGATCATTGTCTTTGAAATAAGTAATGTATACATTCTTAGACAAAAGTTCAAATTAATCAGAACTACATGTACGAGTTTACAGTCAAACTTGAGTTAACGGCAACATCTGAAACTGTAGAACACTCTTGAAGACTTTTTATTATTACCAGGATCCATAGACTTCCATGAAGTATTTTCAAACCAAATTTCTTCAATCAACTTGGTTAAAAGTCATTAATTTATAATTGCATTCAATACAAATTTCTACAAGTAATATACATAAACTGAAGGGAGAGGATGACTAAGAGAAACCACACGTCAGCACCTAATAAGCTGAAATTATTTATTGAAGCCTACTAGTTTCAATTATTACAATGATCTTCATTAGGCCATAAATTGGTTAAGATTATCATTAAAGTACTAAAAAGCGGTTACAAAAAGTCATGTGAGGGACCATCAATAATAACATGTGTTGCTATTAATAATATTTATCTGGAATGTTGCAAAAAGTTTATATGCTTAACAATATCTATAAATAGAACAAACTGTTAGCAGTCCATGTTTTATTTGACCGTTTATTGATTGACTGACGTCCATTCCACAGATGCTGCAAACGTATATCAATTGCTCACTTATATCACTGTACATCAAGTGTTCATCATGGCATGATGTATGGATACTTGAGGAAAGGGTAACTTCTGGTGGTGTGCTGGTATGACATTTTGGAAAATCAGGTTATGGTAAAAATGGCGGTAGTAAATTGAAAACCAAAGTGTCAATATTCTGTCTGCAATTGATATATTTTCGAAGCAGTACTTTTTTCATAGAAGGACTTTACCCATTATATATATACTATCCTGAATGTTTGCTTCTTTTGTATTGTTTTGTTGAGACTGGATGTAGTCGAAGGTTGGTTTTGAGATTGTCTCTCCTCAATTGTGGGGAATGTTTCCTCTTCAAACCCATGGACGATTTTGGTGTGTCGTTTAATGTTGTCACGTCTTGTATACAATTTTTTACACCAGGAGCACTGGAATTTTGTGACTGATGGTAAATGGGAATTTGTGTGTCTGTAGGGTTAGGAACAATATTTTGTTGAGTATCCATACATCTCAAATAGATGTAACGGTTTGCCTATAAAATTTTATTTCCTGGGGTTTCTTTAGTAAATTCTGACAGTTTTTTTGCTACGTATTTTTCTTCCATTTATATGATTTTAAGGCCTGTGGATGATTTGGATTTCAAAATTTGTATCCAAATTTCTTCAGTTCTTTAATGTTTGTATCACGTTCTTCTTGTTGTATTACTTTTACGTCAATAATTCTAACGTCATGTTCCGACATTCGAAAATGGCGGGAAACTTGCTTAACGTTTTAAACGTTGTTTTCTTTTATCTTTTTTTATCGTATGTAAGCTAGATGATCGTACAAACGTTCCCTGTATATATTCTCAGTTTATCTAACATATTGTATTTCACATTTAGTACATGCTATTAAGTATATGACGCTAAGTTATATACATGTAAAATGAAAAAAAAATACCAAACTAAGTCTTACTTAAAACTAAAGTATACATACTCAGACAAAGATTGTAAGCAGGTATTGTGTAATAACCAATCTGGCAGGTACAGGTCTTTGTAAAAGTCCCTAAGCACTGAACATTTTGTGCTGAACATTGAGATACCTCATCACATGTTTCACCAAGACTTCTTTCTGAAATTTTGAAAAATAATCAAAATACCAAATCTAAAAACTGATTTAGGAAATATAATACAACTGAATTCATTCAAGAAATATGATTTTATTAAAATTTCTTATATCTGAATTTCTTCAAAAAAATGTACAAAAGCATTGTTTTATTTAATAAATTTTCTTTTATAAATTATGACTTATTTTAAAATTGAAAAAGTAAATTAAATGTTGATTTTAATTAAATCATAATTAATCAAAATTGATGTTATTTCAAATTTCAGAAATTTAGTTTCAAGTTCATTTCATTTACATATCTGTTCATTTTATGCAAAAAATGTGTAAACTGTAGATCTGAGAAATTTAAAATTCATAAAGGATGAAGTACAACAATTGAGTTTTTTTATGGAAAATATGTTTTTTTATTAGAAATGATGGAAAGAAGTTAGTATCATATCAAATTCATTTTTTTTTAAATTGTATTTCTCATATAACAAGCAATTATTATAGGATTGCAAGCAAGCCATAAGTCTCCTACCGGTTAGAACCCTAGCAACATTCTAAAGGGCCATTTGTCATTCAATTATGCCTTTGAATGAATGCATGCATGAATGAATAAATGAATGAATTAATGAATGAATGAATACATGCTACATTGTCCATTGGTAACTAGTAAACAGTGAGAATCTGCAATACAACTATAACCAAGATATCTTTCTGAAAATATAACAATATGAATAATATTTTTATAACCTTGTGTTTTACTTTCCTACAGCCCTCTTACTTCCGTCTTTATTTAAAAAACTAACTTAGTCCTATAAAATGGTCTTAATTTAAAAACTTATAGGTAGGTAAACTTAAAAGTACAGGTTTAGCAAAATGTATGTTATGAAACATTATACATGATTTTTATTATATATTGTGTAGCTAAAGAATACAAGACATAAAATACCTAATATATTTGAATAATGAGTAACTAGAAGACGAAGGATTAAGGTAGTCAAACTCTAATAGGATTTGGGAACTTAAGTTCGTTTTTTGCAGAAATACAAGACCTGAAATATCTATATATAAATAATGGGTATCAAGAAGATAGTTATGATAGTCATACTCTGATGGGATTTTTTCTTTAAAAAAAAGACCTGAAAACTGTAATATATATTTTACAGAAATATACGTATTAGCCCAGCAAACGTTGTACCAACGTTGTACTGACGTTAGACCCCGACGTTGGATAAACGTTGGCAGAAGGTTGGATTTGAAAGTTTTTAGACGTCAGAAACCGATGTCTATTCAACGTCATAAAATGTCCTTTATCCAACCTTTTCTGACCATAATTCAACCTTTTCTGACCATTATCTGATCATTGTATCATAGTTTTGGGACATTCCTGTTGAAAAAATGTGTCAGAGTTATATCGTATACATATACATGCACAGTGCGTTAACTGGAGTGCAGGTATTAGTTACCCGCACTCAAGAGCATGCCCATTGATTGGCTCATTTTTGGTGTGGTTTACTTATTGTGAAGGCAGCGGAAGGGAAAGCGACAGAAATATATTCAGATGTTCGTTCATTGGTTCCTTTTTGCCGGGGTTTTATATTGTGACAACAGGGAACGTGCTTTATGTTTGACTATAATACAAAAGAGAAAGAACATCAAAACACTCGGCGATCTGATTAATCGTACACATCAGATAGCCTCGTGTATCGATGCTCTTTCTATTACTTATCCAACCTTTTCTGAGCATTATTTGGACATAATCTTACCTTTTCTAACCATTATCTGACCATAATCCAACCTTTTCTGACCATTATCTGACCATAATCCAACCTTATCTGACCAACCTTTTCTGCCTATGATTTAATTTTATTCCAAACGTTTTGGAATATGATTTTTTTTTCATTTTAAAGCTCTTTAATAGGGTAAACAAATAAGCATTCTTATAATTTTAGCAATTTATTTTCAACACAGAATCACATGTACAAAATAATTATTGTGGTACTTTAACAAATGCAAGATTTTACATTTATTAATAATCTTTTTTGAAACTATTAAACATGACATCATGTACTATAATAACGCTTCATGTACTAATTAAGCATGTTTAAGAAAGACAAAATTCTTTATCAAAATTAACACTGACATTGTAAACATTCATGCATGTGTTTTTCATATATCACCATGGTTTATATTCCTTTTGAAGCGATCACCCTGAGGTTGGGATTTTCCAATCATCTATCCAATACAATGATTGTTTATTTGTCTTTGTATTTTATAACTGAATCAAGATCTGAATGTTAAATGAAACAATATTGTGAATATTTTGATATTACTATGAATTATCAATAGCAATGTTCATGCATCTTGATAAGCATTATACTTTCGTCAACTTCCAGTTTTGCGATCTGGGGTGCCATACTTTAAGCATATCATTGTCTGAACCGTTACCGACTCTAACCTGAGATCTTGCCTTAAATTTAAAGAAAAATTAAATAATCACTTACAATTGCAAGAAATCCTCTTTTACATATTACAATTAAATGATATTCTTACAAAACTCCCCAGCTGCATGCACTTAAACAAAAAGAGGCTTATTATTTTTCATGTACCCAAATATCTATTGTTTTTGATAAAAAATGGCTTCGTGAATATCATTACACTAAGGTAATAAGATCACTGTATTTCTTGTAATATTTTGAAATATACCTGTCACAAAATCTTGGTAGGTTTTCTTTTTTTCTTTTCCTCTCAATAATTTCATCTTCCTCCTCTGAACTTTCGACAGATTTTGAATTATCATAATTTTCACAATCTCTGATATTTACTGAAAGACGAAACAATATAATGATTTTCAAAGCTCTCCCGCATAATTTAAAATATCAAAAAAAAGATATTTTTTATATTCATTGTTATTTATACAAATACTCATACAACATCACGTGTTACTGTCATTTTTATAGATATCACCTCTGCCCAGCATAATCTGATCTATGACTGACTGGCTAAGGGTACAAACGTTTTATGATATAAGCATATAACTTGTTTCACAATATTTGATAAGAAGGATAATTAACAAACTATTACTTTTATTGATTCATAACCATGCTACTGTTTTTGTGTTTTTTTTTTCTGATTGATAACATGTTGTCTGATTACATTATGAAAAGGTAAGTAGTCAAAAACAATGTGCATCGAGATATATCTTACCAATTGAAAGTAGTATCATTTACATGTATCAAAGGCCATGAGTCATTATCATAATACAAGAAACACATGGTATGATCATAGGTAAAGTACTTAAATTTAAGAACCAGTAGTTTAACAACTACACAGACAACAATAAATCAAAATGTGCTCGAGACCCTAATGTTATGTGATACATGTGTAAATGAATCGTCCCTCATGAAAGGGAAATTAATGTTGATAAGAAATAAGGGGAAACTTTATTTGCCAGCATTTGAATAATGGAGTCTAATGAACTTCATTTAACTTTTTATTGATTTCAATTGCTAGTATATTTCCTACTATTGATTATGCAAAAAAATTATTTGGCAATAACGATATAGTGACGGAAAATGATCCGATATTACAGATCGTTCTATAACAAATAATTAAGTGCTCTACCGAGGAACCATGCGAAATCATGTAACGTTAAGTTTTACCAGTCAAACATTACAATGATTAATTTCCGTCGAATCCATACAAACATGCGTAAATGAGCATTAAAAAAAACAATATATAACGTTTGCCTACCTTTCCCTTTTTGTTTAGAATATACAACTTTGTCTGTCAACGCGTCTTTTTGTCCGCCAATGCAATTGAAGTTCAAATCCGACAAGTCGCCAATTCGAATTTACTTAATTATTTACCACTATTAAATGAGGCCCACAAAAATGATAACAACTTCATTTTTAGATATAAAAAACACTTCTTAGACTAAATCGAGGAGATAAGTTATTATTAAATTGAAAATAGAGCAAATATATTTTATATTGATCTGCGACTATCCGTTTACCGAGCACCACCTATCGAATGTCGTACGGTAGCAATCCACGTGGCATTGTTGTTGTTTTGATGAGGGCAAATAAATGTATAATTTTCCCTTTCTAAACAAACTTATAAGTTTCGCTATTTAAGCCTGTTTATGCTTTCATTTATATATATTGGTTTTATGAATTAGATTTACCTATTGTCAGATAACCGACCAAAACCTGACGTCGTGTCGACGTCAAAATGAAACGTCTGTTAGACGTAGGGGTTTCAACGTCGGTTTGACGTTGTAGGAAGGTCGCCGACGTCGCGACCAATTTTCAATGTTGATCTAACGTTGTATCAACCTCGGGTGTTTGCTGGGAGGTGTTTTGCTGATATGACAATGAAGAATTAACTTAATTTCAAAAGCCAAAATTAATTTTAACGTTTTAAATATGATCGCCTTTTTAAACTTTTTTCATCAAAAATGACAAATATCGAATTTATTCATTATCCCTCATGTACAGACTCAATCAAACCGAGTCTGCAATTTTCAAGTTATTTTGTTGTGCTTTATGCTTCCGAGTGATCACTCTGTTTCCAGATCTTGATACTTCACAACAGCAGGTGTCAAGTGCTGTGTGGCAGCTGTAAAAAAGTTGCCCCGTTCTTCACTTCAGTGTTGTTATATTTTTCTGGCCCTTCGGGATCATTGATGCCAGCACTATTAATTAAGTGTTTAGAATTAAGTACCGCTCAAGCCGGTTCTAGGGGGCGTGAGGGATGTTGCACTTATTCATTATCCCTCATATACAGACTCAATCAAACCGAGTCTGCAATTTCCAAGTAATTTTGTTGTGATTAATGCTTCCAAGGGATCACTCTGTTTCCAGATTTTTATACTTCACAACAGCAGGTGTTAAGTGCTGTGTGGCAGCTGTAAAAAGTTGCCGCGTACTTCACTTCAGTGTTGTTATATTTTTCTGGTCCTTCTTAATCATTGATGCCAACACTATTAAGTTTTGAGAATTGAGTACCGCTCGAGCCGGTGCTAAGGGGCGTGAGGGATGTTGCACTTATTCATTATCCCTCATGTACAGACTCAATCAAACCGAGTCTGCAATTTTCTAGTAATGTTGTTGTGATTTATGCTTCCGAGGAATAACTTTGTTTCCAGATTCTTATTAAGTATGTATATAAAAAATAAAAAATAACTTTTTTTTAGAAATTTTAATGTCTGTCAGTAGATAATTGACTTTTTGCTTTTATACTTATACTTAGTATATTTTTGAAGTAAGTGAAATATCATATTATATCTTACAAGGAAATGTGTATATTTAAAAAAAATAGTTAAATAAGTTCCTTATTTACACAAAACATGTTCTTAGCGCGCATCACTTCTAAGGTGTTTGCATGAAATCCACTCAGAATTTATTACGATTTGTAGTAAAGAATGTTTAATAACATGATGTTTCCGTGTTGATATAGAAAAATATTTGTGGGTTTAACTTTTGAAGTAACACTAAAATATTGAACATTAAAATTCTAATTCGTAGTCAGTTTTAAATAATAGACACATTTCATCTACTTACCAGTTTTAGAAAACTAAACATAAAATAAATACGTTTTTCTGTTTCTTTACTGATTATTACAATCAACAGAAAGCTTAGATTTTTTTCTGATTTTGCCTAAAACTATTTGTTATACAACATGTTAATATCTCGCTGACCAACCTAAGAACAATACAATCAACATTCAATACAATCAACATTTAGAACTATTTCCTCAATGTTTAACTATAACAAAGCAAGGAAATTGTTGTGAGCTTCAGTTTACAAATTGGATACTATCAAGACCACTTCTTCTAAGGCGTATGATAACTAAAACATGTACATACATTTAATTCAAGAATATTGAACTCAGTAAACGATATAGATGGAGAATATGCATGCACGTCATTCTAAATTTTGAAAATGGTCAAACTTTATATGTATATATTCTTCTGTCAGGTGGCCACTGTGTAGAAATACATTCATTGATTTGAGGGAGGCATATTCAATCAACTTAAGCATCCAATGAAAAGCAAACATGATTAATTAAAAGCGGGCATGCGTTATTTCAGTACATGGTACATGTCTCATAGATTCATAATATTTACAAAGCCAAATGCGAAGAAACGATGACCAAATCGTAAGATACTGACAACAAATACATAATACTGAAGTTTAAAACAAAATAGGAACATAATTGTGTGAAGTGTATAGAGGATATTGAATGAGTGTAGGTTTAATACTAAATTTATTGAACGAGTCGAATAAAATCATATTGTGCGAGCCCATGGCGAGCATAATATTGTTTTATTCAAAGAGTTCAATAAATTAGGTATTGAATCTACAGGAATAGAATATTCAATTTATCACACATATAAAATAAGAACGATTAACTGTTAAAAAGAGACATTTTTCATTGATGCGCCTATAGTGTAAAGCTAACATTAGCGCGCTTTAACGCAATAATTATATATAGTGCAAATGACGTCGCGTCATTTGAAGTGTTATTACACTAGTGTAATATCGTTTTTATTAAATGGCTTTATTATGACAGAACATGTCACTCAATTTTCAGTATAGCCAGGGTTGCATGTACAAGTAATTAAAAATTCCTGAAGTGTTTGTACAGTCTGCATTGTTGCCACAGTTTTCAATATTATAAGTACATTCATCAACATGCTTAATTTAATTGTCTGTATGTATCTGTTAAATATGATTAAGTGCAGGCCTTTATAAGTAAGGTATAATCCATGTGAA